CCCCCCCCCCCCCCCCCCCTGTTCTTTTTCCATATTCCAGGCCTGAACTTCTTTGCAGGTCCATCTTCTTTTTCTTTTCACATATTAGATAGAAAAGGATAGAAGATGAACTATGTAAGAAGTTCAGTCCTGCAGAATATGGAAAAAGCACAGATCTCTTGTGTCACTTTACGAGAAATGCACATGAAAAGGGGGCAGAAATAAATTAAGATTAATTAACGTCCATCAATTCAATGAAACTAATGACTACAGATCGACTGTTTATCATCCCTTTTTTTGAGATTATCTTGATTATGCGTGATATACGGGGTAATTACGAAAATTCGAGCTCAATATTAGGTAACACGGTACGATATCGACATGATCGGTCTCTAGGGTAGAGCCTGAGTGGAGATGACATAACGATATGACTTTCCTAGAACGTGTAGGAGGACGACTGGAATTTTGAAGGTAGCTGAAGAAAGAAACAGACAGAGAGTAGGTTGGAATGGGGGAGGGTGAGCAAAGGGGTGAGAAGGTGGCAAGAAGAAGAGGAGGAGGAAGAGGACAGAATGGGGGAAAGGGGTGGTTAGCAGAAGGAAAGTATTGATCTGGCTCTGGCTGTGCTATCCTACGTTGCTGCACACCGTGTTCATTGTAACGTTCGCTTTACGTCACATTTACCCCCCTGTGAACTTGACGGTACCACTTGATCGGTAACGTCGGTGCGTGCGACGCATCGATCTACGTCTTTTCTTCCTCCCTTTGCCGTTATTATGTCGTTATTATGGGTCTCCAGATTTCCGGAATCCGGGCCTCTTCCCTTCCTACCTCCTCACCCCCTCATCCCCGCCATCGTTTGGGAGAATGACGACGACGTGCCACTTGTGCCATTTTAAGCGCACAGCTGGCAACTCGCGAGGGCGGAAAGTTTCTTGAATTCAGGCTCGCACTTGGAATGGAGATATCAGCTTCAAGTGATGAGGACAAGTTTCCGACTTCTCTCTTCCGATCTTTCAAGCTATACGAGAAGGCGAACGTTTAATCGCCGCCGTTGCGAGTGTCGCAGAGCGTCAACATTTGCATTTGTAATTTATCCGATGTTTATGAGATTAACTGAAGTTTCGATGTCGCGAGGGACGTGTAGGATTGAGTCTTTCTACTGTAACGAATTTGCAGCTTCAAATCGAGTTACGAAGCTTGCTGCATCTTATTTTGCTTTTAATGACCTTCTATAATTTTGCTGTTACACTTGACATTTCCTCGTACTCTTCGCTTTGATTCACTAATTAACTTCCTTCTCTTTTGCCGCAAATTGTTGGTTTGAGTTCTTAGATATTTCACTTAATGACGCTGAAAGCGATACGTCGGTTATGAACCAGGCAGACGTGCCTAACAAACACGAGAGAGTATTCCGTAAAAACATATCTGGAGGCCGAAAACGGCAACGTTTATAAGCGAATATCGCTCGAATATGTGTCGATATACGTATTAGTGACTTCCGTGCAAAGTTCAAGGGGCAGCGGATTAATATATACCGACGCGTTCATCCCCTTTACTCCAAAGGCACTCCGCGCTATCGCTTTCATCCGCGATAGGCACGTAACATTTTATAGGCCAAACGTCCATACGCCATTTAAGCGAACAAGTTCACGAGCGGCACGGAGTTCATTTCACAATGATTTACGAGGAATCCTTTGACAACCTGAACTTTACAGGATAAACATAGAGAAGCACGGAAGACGTATTATAGAATATAAAATAATGATGTAATTTTATATTTCGTCATGTTTCATCGTCAATCAAATTGTTTTGACAAAAATTTGTTCAGTATCGTTAAGACATTTAATGGTGTATTTTTCTATAGGAACTTTGATAATCTAAGAATCTCTTCGGCAGTTTTGCTATTTAAGGATTATTATAAATGTCACGAGAGTAGATAAAAATGTTATATACCATCAACGTACGGAAACATCAAGAGCTATATATAAAAACAGTATTTTTGCTCCTTAGAAAGTGACTTCCGTTATTCCGAAGATTGTTTTTATTACGTAGGATTAATATTTGTTTAAACAAATGTTTAACGGAACAAAAATTATTTTTTGTCATAAGGAATTATATTTTTTTACGGAGTATTTTTCTTACATATGGTTAATTTTTACGTTTACTCTAATTATAATTTTTCATATAATGATTAAGTATCGTGTGCGTGCGTGCGTGCGTGTGTATTATACGTATGACAAGTCGATGAACTTTATCAACGATATTGGTTGCCGGTATTGTTTGCAGAGATGGTTGAGGCGATGAAGAAAGTGGCTTCGTTGGACGTAGAACTTACCGTAGAAGAAAGGAATCTTCTTTCGGTAGCGTACAAAAATGTGATCGGAGCAAGGAGAGCCTCCTGGAGAATAATCTCGAGCATTGAGCAAAAGGAGGAGAACAAAGGTGCCGAGGGGAAACTAGAGATGATTCGCCAATACCGATCTCAAGTAGAAAAGGAGCTCAGGGATATTTGCGCCGATATCCTCGGCGTCTTGGATAAGCACTTGATACCGTGTGCTTCTACGGGAGAATCCAAAGTCTTCTATTATAAAATGTAAGAATTTATTCGTATATTTTACGCAATTATCCGTAAAACATTAATCTGTTAGCTATTATTTTGTATTTTTGGAACAAAAAATTTCAATTATTTTATTTATGAACACAATTTTAGTATTATAAATATAATACTTTTTTTTTTTTTTACAAGGATTAATTATGCTTACAATACCAACATTTGAGAATATTTATACCTATATATATGTATATATATATAATGAAGAATGCAATTGTTATTTTAATTTATAATATTTCATAATTTTTTTGTGATATTGAAAATGACCCGATAGGAGTCGAAACGTTTGTATGATTGTTTAAATTAATTAATTCGTTAATTTATTTGGCTCTTTGCCCTCTTTATATTTATATTGTTTTATACATATAGAGCCGTATTATTACTTATATTACTTATTTTATAATAAATATAATTTTTTATATAATTTTCCATTTTTTGATATATTATTTACATAAAAATTATAACAATAAGCTCAAAAATACAATTAAGCATTATAAGGATCTACAATTCTTTATATTGTAGTGGTTCTTAATAAAATCTTGCTCATAAAGACAATATACATTACTTGTTGACACATGTTGTATTTTTACCTAACACTAAATAAAAGGTGATTTGTTTCTTTATATTATTTCTTTTACTTATATATATATATATTTTATTTTTTAATTGTGTAACAAACTGTTGAATAACTGCATCATATCTCGATACGAATTGCTGTTAATCCACCATTGATGTGCTTTTAGGAAAGGTGATTACCATCGTTACTTGGCAGAATTTGCCATCGGTAACGACAGAAAGGAAGCAGCGGAGAACTCTCTGGTGGCATACAAAGCAGCGAGCGATATCGCCATGACGGAACTACCGCCGACCCATCCCATTCGCTTGGGATTAGCGCTCAATTTCTCCGTGTTCTATTATGAGATCCTCAACAGTCCTGACAGAGCATGCCGCTTAGCGAAGGCGGCCTTCGACGATGCGATCGCCGAACTGGATACGCTGTCTGAGGAGAGCTACAAAGATTCTACCCTTATAATGCAACTCCTCAGGGACAACCTCACCCTATGGACGTCGGATATGCAGGGAGACGGTTAGTGTCCTACTTAATTACAGAGGCAAAACCGCCATAGGGATGTTTTGATTACGCTAGAACGCGTTGTGCGACGTACTCTGCCTGTTCTTGATCGATCGACACAGATGAATACCATGCATTCTGATAAAATGATTTTATCTTGGACACTCTCATCTCACGTAATTTACTTAAAGTGTCTCAGAAGCTCGTGCTTTCTCATGATTAGAAGTATAGAAGATGAGAAACTTTTTCAATGAATATTGAAACTTTTATTAATAATTCTAGAAACAACATAAAAAAGGAACTATTTTTAGATTTATAATTCCAATTGTGGTCTTTTTACTCCTAGATGTTTCATTCCTACTGGAATAAAGTAAATAATATTCTTATTTGAAAATTGCAAATAAAATTATTGAAAAATTGAGGAAACAGGTTTTACATTCAGATTCATTTCACATTGCTCTTAATAGATTTCTAAATTAGTGTTTTGTAATTTGATATACGAGGCGATTTATTAAATCAGTGATGCGCAACTTGCGGCTTACATGTGAATTTTATTTGTGGTCTCCGCCTCATAGTTGAAAATATAAGTTCATATTTTTTATTTTATGCAAAAAGATTTTTTCTAAAAGTGACCTAAAAATGATTCTTTAAAAAAGTTACGTATTTACTGCATGAAGCTACTTAATAAATTGATTAAAAATTTTTTATAAACTTTTAATACTTAATAATATAGGAATTATGGATGATTTAATATCTTTCTGAAGAAATACCGATCTCGAATTTATGAAAAAATGTTAGAGAATAATCAATAAAATTAAGACCGTGAGATATTCTGAACTTTCTGTTGCTCTCGTTCATATATTTATATTTCGGTTTTAAAGCTTGTTTTTTTATTTATTTTAACTTGTAAGAAATCGCAAATTGTGCGATTTTCGAACACGGAATTATTACTTTGTAATTCAGAGTCCGAGTCTGATCAACAAGACGATACTGCTGTTGATACCCACGATGCCTGAACATAGATACCTTTTCCTATCGTCCTCATCCTCCCATCATGTCTGCACTTGGTGAGCGACGTAATACTTACCATATACAATCGTCAGTATTAAGAGAAATAAAAAATGAAAAAAATGTCACACAAATTGAATTTATTTAAAATTATTTCATCAAATTTTTTTTGCTTCATTATTATCAAACACAATTTATCTGATATGCATTGTTTAGGTGCGTTCAACTAGATTATTCACTGACATATTTCGTATTTTTGTTGCGCAGGCGAAGCTGAACAAAAGGAGCAGCTGCAGGATGTGGAAGATCAGGACGTATCGTAACTCTAGCTGTAGTGAGTGTTATCTTGCGCATATAAAACTGAGACACAAGAAAAAACTCTTAAATAACTCGTAAGCAAAAGAAAAAAAACCAATTCAGCAGGTGGCAGTTCGGGGTGGGAAGGGGAGATCTTTAGAAATTTGCGTGACCCTTTAAAAAAAAGCACGCACTGTATGATTACTTCAAAACAAAGCAGCAGCAGCAGTGACAACAAAATACAACAACAACAACATTAATAATTAATAATAAATAAATCATTCAGTTCATCCGGCATTATATTACGTACATATACATACAATTGAGTTACAGAACACGCAGAAAGTAACGAGACAAAAGGACATGCATCCTGCGGTAAATAGAGAGACTGCAAAGCATTTAGGAGTAAAGGCACTTTTCTGTTGCCCCGTTTTTGCGTATCGAGAGAAAACGTCGTATTTGCACTTTGTATGCGTCCGATAGATGTGCGAACGACGTCGAGAACGTCGAGCCGATGTCGATTCCGGCGCGCCGGTCGGTTTAGTCTCGGCAATTCAGATTTGATTTCCGTCACAGTGAATCAGAACGAATTATATGTCCTATTCCTATGTTTTACAATAGTGAAAGAGGAACAAAAAGGCGTATGGATTGCACGTCATATCGGGATATATTTACATGACTGTCCGTTTTTACATCTCCACCTGGAGTTCTCCTCTTCCAATCTCCTCCTTTTCGTTCCTCGCCTTTTTTTTTTTTTTTCTTTACTATGCGCACGATATTTTATTACACACGTACTGTAATTATTACGGTGTTTATTAGCGTGTAAATTGATTTATTTCGAAGATAATTTGCACGTGTCCTCTCTCCCTTCCTCCCCCTCTCTCTCTCTCCCTCTCTCTCTCTCTCTCTCTCTTTACGGAAATAACGGCGGCGCCCTCATTGTCAGTTGTCAAGACGGACCTCGCTTTCGAGCTTGTATCCTGTAATAGATATGTACTTCCAACAAGATTCGATACAATTGTAATGTTATAGATAACCAAAAAGAAAAACTTTTAAATGCATGGATTCTTGGCATAGCCGAGCTGAGGAGAAGAGAATGTGCTTACTTCGATTGTCTCCTTCTCCCCATCTCCCACCCTCTGTACCTCGTCAAATGCAATAACGTCTGATTTTGTGAGTTTTCGAATGGAGACCGCGTCGCGAAGGAGCTCTGTGACACGAGCGAGAAGCGATAAGGCGTATCATCGAAATTCTCTTACGGCAATCTTTTAATTTTCGGTTCTTTTACGCAACTCTTCCGAGGTAAATGCGTCCCATCGCGTCAGCTCGATGAGCAGCGTCGTGATAAAAAAAAAAGTGAAAAAAAAGAAAGAAGGGGGAAAATGAAAAAGATTACGTTATCGTAGGTGAGCCTTTTTAGCGCGTTACGTTACTCACAGCAAACAAAGTAACTATCTAGCTAGTCTGTAATGTGGTTGTACGTTTTCATACGCCCGTTGTGTAAACTAAATATCGATTGCTGTGGTATAAGAACAGAAAATAAATGACTGTACCCCGACTTTTTCCACCCGCACATTTACACACGCAATTTACGCTCTATATATACTTATTATAAATATATTCATATTTCTTCTATCCTCGTCCTTCCCTTCCGGATGGACGATAGTCGGAATCAGTATTTGTAATTATCCATTCGCCGATTCATCGACGAGCCATTCCATCGACTTTTTACGTTGAAACATTCCATTGTTCTTATAATGAGGAGTCTGTCGGGATCGTAGAGATTTACAGTGAAAAGTATCCTTTCTTCAGATCGATGAGGTAAGCTTAGCTAGTTACTGACCATTTTACGCATTAAACTTATCTACTTATTATATAGCTAGAACTACCAAAATCCATTTATAAGCTCACTCAGTTTTCTCGCTGATAACGTGACGGAGAGGAGACGCCGAGTTTAAGCGCAGCAGAGAAGTGAGGGCGTTCGGCAACAACAAGAAAAGCATAATTTGGCGAGAAAAACGCGGACCGCAGCCTCCGCGAGGAAGACGAAAAAGCAGAAAATAATTGGTGTCCATCGTGCCCCTGTATTTAGGTATCGTAACGATAAAATTGATAATGTTATAAATGAAACACGTTATGAGAAATAATTCAAAATAATATCAACCGGCTCTCGTAAAGTAAGTATAAGTATACCTATTTGCGAATGTAATTGTAAGAACGTAATAAGTAGGCTAAAGAGAAGGAGAAAAAGAAATGAAGAAAAATAATTTCGACGCGGGGGGTCATCCGAGTAACTCGGGTAGCATTAACTCGAGTATATGACATGATCGAGTCGATTATAATCGAGAAGATTAAATCGCGCGAAAACTGTGTGCAAGGTAAACAGAGCTCTAAATTAAGAACTGCGGAGCGAGGCGGATGCCGTCGTAGGCTGTAAAACGCAAGCGCATATATATAAATATATTTCTCAAGTACATAGCATGTATCTGTGCGGCAAAGTGTTTTAAGGATTTAGCTACATAAAAACAAAAAAAAAAAACAGAAACGCGTCAGGTGGCAACGAATGGTGGTAGCAATCTCTGAACGCCGATGAATTATTAGCCCCTTTTGGGGCAACATCCGGTTATACATTTGTACAATATAAATCGGAGACCATCTGGATTATTTCGAGAAAAAAAAAAAAAACTCTAAATCACCTTTAAATTTGTTCGATTTTATTGATTTCGATAAAAACTAATCGCTATTAACAATTAATAGTGTGAAACAACAATGCTTTTTTTCATCATCGTTCGGAGGAATTGATTTTACATTCTTGGATCCGCATGCGTTCTTACGCTCTGTATTACAGTCGATGCGAATACACCGGATACAATCTTTTTTTTCTGTAAAACCACACACAAGAAAGCTACAAATAAAGTAATTATAAATCTATGCCTTGGTCACAGTTTTATTAAGAGATTGATTTAAATTTTCGGCCAGCCAATTGTAGAAAAATTTCGCAGCAAAGAGCTTTAAAGCTCTTGTGTTAAATATTAATTTAATATTAAATATTTGAATATATATAAATTAGATATTTTAATTTTATATGACGAATATGTCATACGTCTGTATTATATAATTTAAATTTTGGACTTTTGGTCTTTCATTGTAGTCATATTATCTTATGACTGCGTTCTGTTGCACGCATAATGTGCATGAAATATTTTATTGTTCACAGTATATTAAAAAAAAATGCGTGCAATGGAACGCTTATGACATCAGAAACGAGAATTTAATTTTGTGTCTTACATATCATAATGAATTCATTTTTTTTAATTTTTCTTTATCAATATACTTATATTTAATAATACAAGTTGATAAAAAGTTCTTTTTTTATATAAATTGTCTCTCTTCATAAATCTTTATAAAGTTCTTAAATATGATAAATCATAATACATTTATGATATGCAAGCAACTAAATTATTTCAATGTATATCGCAAGTTTTCTTTAACAATTCTATAATTTACAAATTTCTTGTTTCTGATGTCACAATCCATACGTAATAATGTGGTCATTCAAGCGTGGATTGTGATTGGCTGTAAGTCAATGTTTCCAACGATTTCTCCCTTGTGAAGCTGCTTGAGCTGGACAAGAGTCTCCTCGGTCTGTTTAGATTCACTCGTCGTAGGATGCGCTCCAAATTGCCCTCCGAACCAGTTAAAATCGGCGAGAGATTGATATTTGACGCAATCCGGTTTTTAACGATTCGGCCGTTTCTGGGAGATCTTCCGCTTTGATCGTTAGATTTACGCTTTGCAGATTTCAGCTTTACGTTGCGCAACATTTCCAAAGACACGACCGGACCTCTTGGGCCTGGTACAGTGTTCCGTCTGTTTTCCTGAAATGTATGGAATAGAACAATTTTTTATTTTTTATACTCTGTTATTAAGTATAAATGAATATTGAATTATATTTAAAAAAAACTTAATTCTTCGCACACACGTCAGCGTATTAATTTTTCATTTAACAAGGACACAAACAAAATTTAAAAAAACAAGTTTTGTTTACATTACAATTAAAAATTCTTTTTGGTATACTTATTTTTAATCTCTAAACAGTCGAAGATTCCTTTAAAATGGAAGAGTGCTAGAGGATTACAACTTTTTGTGATACGCGATCTGATTTTTTATGAATCTATTCTAATCAAACTTCAGATTAATTCTCGCATGATTTGCATTCATTAATTCAGAAGATAAAAATCTCATGAGATCTAAAGCAATCACACACGTACATATTTGATATTCTTGGAAATTTATCGTAATGGATGAAATTTTACTAATTTGCAGAGTTTAAACAATACTTTGATAGTTTGTGGAGCCTTTTTCAGGGTGACTTTCAGTAAGTCCTCGACGGTAATCCTAGGCCTATTGTACAATGGCGTGGAACACTTTCTTGTGGGTGTTCTATTCTTGCTACTTCTGCTACTGTTAGGAGTCGTCGGTAATATCAACGGCATTTGAGATTGCAAGGAAACTGAAGGGAGAAGCGGAGGTGGGGGTGGTATTGAAGGTTTTGATTCCGTGGTGTGCGCTTTTGAAGGAAATGAAAGAGGTAACGGAGATGGTGGAGGAGGAGGAGGAGGAGGTGGTGGTGATGGTGGTGGTGGAGGAGGAGGAGGAGATGGTGGTGGTAGTGGATGAAATTCTAAGGAGGACAGCGGTAAAGGAAGAGGAGGAGAAGGAGAGGAAGAAGAAGAAGGAAAAGATGAAATTGGAGAAGGAGGTAAAAGTGGAGGAGGAGACGGAAGTGAACGAGAAGGACACGAAGTAGGTAAGGGAATCTGTTGCGAAGATTTCAGTCGAGATTCCTCTAACGTTTCACGCAATTTCTTTAACTCCAAAAGCATTGCCGTATTATCTTCCGTCATTTTTTTACTAGTTTCACGAAAGATGTTCACATTGGTTGTCAAAGCATTAAGAGTGGTTTCGGTATTTGTTCGTATCTACGACAGAACAAAAATTCGTAAAGAAATAAGAATCTTAAATTCAGTCTCACGATATAGAATCAAGTAATAAATAATTTTTAACTTTTACTTTGAAAGTAATTTTACCTGGTCAAAATCTTCCGAAAGTCGCGTCATCCTTTCCGACATTACATGCAGCGTTTCCTTTTCGGAACGCATTGTTTCCACCAGATGATCAAATTTTTTTGCCCAAGAACTTGATAAAGGTGAGACGATCAATTTCTGTTGTAGTTTCTTGTAACCCTGTAAAAAAAATTTGATTATCAATTTTACCTAAAATAGCAGACACCTTACAAGTAAAAGACTAAAAGTAAAAAAATATTTATATGTACAGAGACATATATATGTAATTAAAGTTATTTATAAAATTACTTCTATGATTAAAAAAACTTTTCTAAGAATATGGATTCGTCCGCGATTTGAATATGTTAAGAATAGAACAATTCGACTGTAATTCAATATGGCTGCAGTGAGGAAACAGGAATAACTCTCATTTCAAACAAATTCTAAAAAACTTACGACGTTTATAAGATGCAGCAATTTCTTTATCAGCCAAATACTGATAGCGATCAGCCATGTGATTATCGTGCGGGTAATGGTTCTTCGTCGAAAAATGTGGCTAGGAGTATCTCGAACCATTTGGGGTGCCTGGTGATTACGAGAGCCGTTCCAATGATATTCTGTCTAATTATTCGAAAACATAGAGAAAGAAATTTCGAATTATCATGAGGATAAGTTTTGTAAATCTCACGCGCAACAACTCTTCAATCAAGAACCCGAAAATATAAGGCACAATTTAGTAAAATTTCATGTAAAATAATTTCTATTTTTCCTCAATGCATATTATATTGAATTACGACCCATATAAATGAGAAATACTCTTTATTTATTACTTTATATATATATACTATTTTACTTGAAATCATATTATGATGTATACTTTTTGCAGAGAGTCGTTAGGACAATCACGACCAGATATTTCGATGTTGGAAGTGGTCGTTGATTCTGGGAAGCGGCTGTCTTGATCATTTTGAGGACGCATTTCATAGAACGACGACAAATCTAACAAAAGTGAACGCTCCTCGTCCTTCTTCATTTCCGAAAGCGGATCCATGATATCCGCGCGAGTTGCCGGTTGCCGATGACTGGCCGTCTCTCCTTCGTCCTCATCTTCGAATGTCAAGGTCGTCCGGCGACAGCGTTTCATCAATCCGATGCGAGGCGTCGTGGGTTCCGGTGGAATTTCTCTGTTCCTGGCTTCTCGCTTCAATGATTTGGATCTTTCGCATTCGCCTGATTCATGATGGTTCAATCTCCTCGGCGAAGTAGATGTGCAAAACATGGAGGGCAGGGACAATGTCGAGGCAGAGATGTAGGGGAACCTCCTATACTTGTGTAACAAGTACTCGCTGCTTTCGACTGCGTCGTCATCGCGAGTTTTCCTGTTCTGCACTCGCCGCAGATACGCGAAGATCTTTCGAAACTCACGCCAATTTGCTGTCAAACGTTCGCCAATCTTCTCGAGCACGACGTCGAATTTTTTATTGTCACTCGATGTCCTCCTCTTGTTTTTACCTGAATTATTTCGCAATCCATCGTCAGACCCACCGACGGATTTACGAAGCTCGCTTCGCTCGTCGGTCTCGCATAAAATCTCAAAATGTGGGGATTCCGAGATGCAATCCGTCTCCAATTTGTTGACGATGATCGTCGACGACTGCTCGTCCTGCAGATAGCTATTCATTTCGCGCATGAGATTGTCGTTCATCGAAAGCGTCTTGTCTAACAAATAACAATCGTTCATCGTTTCAAATATACTGTAGTGATCATCTCGTTGATTCGAGCTGGGAGATCGTTGTTCATTGAAATTTGCAGATTCTGGGACATTTGCGAAAATGCATAAGTGATCATCGTCGTTACGCGATTGGGATAACAAATTAGAGCGAAATATCGCTGACCTCGAAATATTTCGATAGGCCTCTTCATTAACGGTATTCGAGGATCCCTCATCATGTGTTACATCGGCCGTTCTATTCGTCGCGTTGTTTATCTTATTGCTCAAGGACGATAAACAGAACGAATATTTCTTCGTGAGATCAAACGAGTCGCTGGCGATCGATTTGATAGCATCTCGCCTGTGTCCACGATTTTCTAAATTAGAATAATCATTTATGTACTTGGTATCGTGCTTAAAATCGTAATTCTGAAACTTCGACTCGCAATACTTGGACGAAATCGGACTCGATTGCTCCATCATTCGCGCAGCGCTCTCGATTTTCGAATCGTTTTTGAAGCTCTCCAATTTCGTCCTAGGTTGTTTGGAAATGATCTCCGGACTGAGCTTATTACCGCAGAGCGTGTCCACGTGAGGTGATTCGAACAGCACTGATTCCGGAGAACATTGATACGGATGCGAAACATCGCTTGTTTCTTTATCTTTATTTCTCCGATCAAAGAATCTCGCCCGAACATTTTTTTGAGAAGATTCCTGCACCTTCGGAAACTTGGCCTTCTTCTGTGATCGTTTATGCCGGCGTCTCGTCATGAAATATTTATGTTCGGATAATCACTGTGTACTCTATCCAAGATCGTCTCGTGATGAACTAATATATGTCTGCACTCTTTTTTTAAAATTGCGTGATTTAATCAGACTTGAAAGCGCGTTTTTGCGCTACACTTTCGTACGAATTGCGGAGACGAATTTATTATTGTATCCACGCTTCAGAGTTCGTTACTATCCACCTCAAGGTTGTCTACTTGCGTATTATTGTGGTTCAGTATTTACATACGATAATACGTAACTTCCCGTCATGCGCGTATAAATCTATCGGTTAATGTCCGTTTCTACAAAATGCAGATTAACTTTATTTAATCTCGATTCAACTTACTTGAAACTTAGAACTTGAAAAAGATAAAAAGTTAATTGAACCGAAAGTAAGATGAAACTATATTAGTAGAAACAATAATTTCTCATTGTATTTAAATATATCTTCTTGTATAGAATCCTCTGTTTAAAATCGATTTATGTGCTCAATTTCTTCACTTTCAAATAAATTGCGGATAACTTTATCCAGGAGATATCTTCATTCTATTCTACGAGATATTTCCTGGATAAAGTTATTTAGAGGTGAAGAAATTGGGCATTAAAATAAATTCATGAAATCTGATTGTCAATGTCACAATATATACCAACTTTCATCCGAAGAAAATTTGAACTTAAATTTAATTTACGATAGAGGATAAATATAAAACTAATTAAATAAGAGAAATCCTATATTTGTGCGTGCGATCTAAGTGGATCAATTTATATACGTAGATATATATAAATTGCAAACCGCGTGCCGAAATCTTTTTCAGTCTTGAAACAATTATGAACAGAACTAGAATAGTAATATCATCACAAATTAAATACAAATATAAAAATATGTGATAAAAGAGAAAGAAACTTTCTTACGTTTAATCGAAAGAGCGTTTATTCAAATATTTCCTAATACATCGTACACAAGAAATTGCTCGAGCAAATATACCAATTTTAAAAGTCCAATTTTTTATTCCTTATTTTACATAATTTCTTATTACAGATATTTTTTTCTATAATTTCTGTATCTCTCATTTATATATTTCACTTATACTACATGATCTTAGTATTCGACAATCAGTCTGCAATTCTACATTTTTAACATGCATATCAACAGTTCAAGAGAAATGGAAGATACATTCACAGACTATTACGCTTTCCACGATTGAAAAATTTCAATTGTTGTGATAATTTATCATGATTATAAAGCGAGCAACGAAGGCCGGCAAGTCTCATCACACGAAATTCCAGAGATCACGCTCTATCCAACTAGGCCAGACAGAGACCTCACTTTTTATTTACAAATTCTTCTCCCTTTTGAATATTTTTCTTAAGTTCCGGGATGGCAGCGTCCAGCAATTTCTGTTCAAAGCTGCTTAGTTTACCTAATCCCAAATTCTCCTTAATTCCATTTTGCTGAAATTTGAAATAATCCAAATAAAAATTTTCATCTTTTATGATGATGTAATTATGTAAAGTAAAACATATTTTGTATATTTTTATTTAGAATAGTAATGGTAAGAAATTTTTGAATACTTTCTCTCTCTCTCTCTCTCTCTCTCTCTCTCTCTCAAAATATATACGTTATAAAATATAACATGATGTAAAACAATAATTGAATTGTATACGTCATATTATTTTAAAAACAGATAACATAATAAAAATTTTATTTTTATATTGATTAAAAAAAACAAATCATGTATATGAAAAGGAGATACTGTTTTATTTAAAGTTATTATTTCTTTTCAAAGTGTATGATAGCACACGTGTTAATGCGGTGTTAAGCAGTTTATTTTTATATCTATTATACTTACGCCCAAAAGTATTGGTGTAGAAAAATATTTGGCATCAGTGACATTCGATTTGACGTATGAGCACTCGATGATACCCGTTTCCCCATTTAACGCTCTTATTAATGAAAGACCAAATCGTGCGCCGGCAAAAGCCATGGACAAAGTCGCGGATCCAGTTCCTGCTTTAGCTTTAACGACTTCGGTACCGGCTTCTTGAATCCTCTCGGTAAGCGCTTTCAGCTGATTATCCGGGAAAGAAACCGACGGCGTGCACTGCGAGATTAACGGGATAATAGTGATGCCACTATGTCCACCAATGACTGGCACGTTGACTTTCATTGGATCAAGGCCCTAAAAAACCAATATTATCGGTATCTTAACAATCTTATTTTCTTTTTCGACGAAAGATGGAAAATACAGCGATGTATTTATCGTCTCAATTCAATATGCCATTGAATAAAAATTAATATACTATTGCATTCGGAGTTTTTTAATTATTTATTACATTTATATATATATGTTAAAAACAAAGAATAAATTTTGTAAACAATATTGAAAATAAATCGAGAAATGTTTAACACAAATGAGTAAAGAGGATCTCGATCAAGGCGCAATATGTTTAATTCGCCGTGGTCACACTTCTTGAGATCTTATGTCGGTCAGGCAGAGGGCAAAATGACTCCCAACTGAGAGACTTGTAACTGATTGTCGTATTTACAGCTTTTGTTCTTTAAACTCACAAATTACTAAACATACTTTAAACACTGCATGGAAATGCAATGGCGCTTTTAAAAAATTTCAATTTTAATATATTAAAAAAAAATCGCAACGTACAAGTGCGATCTTGAAAAATGCGTCATTTTTTTTTAACAAAAAAACCATAACTATTTTAATTTTTAATATTTCTTGATAAAAATTTATGACTCTACAGATATTTTTATTAAAAAAAAAAATAGTGCAATAGTCTATACGTTCTAAAAAAGGTATTTATTCTAAATAATAAAGCAAACTGTTTTTAAAAATAACAGTGTAAAGTCAATATATATAAAATATTTATTTAATATAAGAGTGTTTATTTATTTTATATATATAAGAATGTGACTCCTTTTTTTAGAAATATAAAGCCTTAAACTTTTTTAGGATTCTGTGGACCCCTGGTAACCATCAGTTAAGAGTTAAACTGGAAAAACGTAAAAAATTTACACACACACATAAAAATATTTGACAAAATCTCCAATCAAATATTACCTTCATCGCGCAAACATCGTTAAATTTTATAAATTTTTCTTGTATTATACATATGTATATTGTGTGTATTATCATATTTAATCCTTTGCATACAGAACAATCTGAAGCTGAATGTTTGTACTTGAGAAACAGGTAAAAAAACAAATGTAATTGAAACATATTTATCAAAACAGATGAAGTCTTAATTTATTATGGTTGCTATAGTGATGACTTTTAGAACATATATGACGAGATAATTTTGCTTGTGTCGATAATATAAATTAAAACGTTTACTTATTCATAAGTTAAAGATTATTTTGTGTACATTACTATATTGAATACCTTAGCTTCCGCGATGAATGTGTTTGCCCTAACAATATCCAAAGTAGTCACTCCGAAAACGCGGTTAGGATCATAGACACCCGCCTTCTGTAGCACTTCACTCGCGATTGGTACTGTGCTGTTAACTGGATTTGAGATGATTGCTACAAAAGCCTTTGGCGCAACTTCGGCCACCGCAGCGACAAGATCTCGGACGATGGAGGCATTCGTATTAAACAGATCATCACGTGTCATGCCTGGTTTGCGTGGAACACCCGCAGGTATAATAACAACCTAAAAACAAAACATAAATAAATAAATCATGAAAATTCAAAACGAGATCGATTAATTTTAATCTAACGAGTTAAATAAAAGGTATAAAAATAACATTTTTTTAAATATCTATATTGTAAACTCTATCACACAAATGCTAATATAATCTTTAATATCATAATAACGCATACCTGAGCACCTTTAAGAGAATCTTTGAGCTGCTCCGGACCATTATAGGCTTTAACTTTTGCAGGAGTATTCATATGTGAAAGATCGGCAGCGACACCAGGTGTGTTTACAATATCGTATAGCGATAATTCCGTAACAAGAGGAGACTGTTTGAGAAGCAAAGACAGTGGCTGTCCAATGCCACCGCTTGCTCCCATGACACTGACTTTTGCATCGCGCTGCAAAAAGAATACAATTAGAATTTTAACATTTTGAAAAAACAATTTGCCTAGAACTCAATGCAGGCATGAAATTTAGTTAAGAATTAAAGTAATATTCTGTTAAATTTTTTTAATTGTATTTGCAATTAATGCTTAAAAATTTGTCCAATTTACATCTGTTTTTATTTAATTTATTTTGTAACTTTTCTTTATATAAAGGATTTGTAAAAATATATATATATAATAAAGCATCGGAATTATTCTTTTCTCGCAATCAGGTTTGAACACGTTATGGACTAACGTAACATGTCAAGAGTATTGGAGCCGAATATTTAATTTGCAGTTGCATAACGGTGCTCCGATTATGATTGCGGCACTTGTAGTTCAATGATGTACGATAGGTGACAAGCGGTATCTCTCCCGCCATATATGTGTCGTCAAAGGTCATTGGAGATTCGTACTCATTATATGAACCAATGATCCCACGAGATATAGCAACATGAATATAACCAGCACCTTATATGCTAATATTGCATATTTATATATATATATATATATGTCTGTCTATATAAAAAAAGAATATGTCGTCGATACAGATTTACATGAGAAACAAGATCCCCTGAAGGATTACTTTTTTAAAAGTGGATTTATCGCTCCACTGAATCGCTAATTCGCACATGGGATATCTCGCAACATAAGGTAGTAAAATGTTACACATTATTCGCACGGTGTATATTAATGATAATTAATTTCTTACTGATTTTCAGAAGACACAGATTACTTAAAAAGTTTTATGGTTCACTGTAATGATACTTTACCGTGGCGCTCGTGGATAATAGTTTCGCACCTTGCTGAGTGACATTTACAACGGGCCTAATGAATCGAGGCAGCATGTCGGCGGCAGTGGACGTCACGTCAAATGGTCGTGAAGATTTTCGCGAGAAGAATTTAACACTCTCACCTCTCACGTCCGATATATCTCAAAGGCACTCGCGTGACGGCGTGACCTTCGTGACGAAAAACTCACTGGCAGTCGGTGGCGCTCTCACTGAAAGTAGAGTTCCTCTAGTAAGAGTTAAGCCATCAGCGGCGTCGCTCGCGATTGGTCAGAAGTTTCGACGCCATGTTTTGGGACCCTACGATTAT